AATCAGATTAAGACAGAGCTGAGAAAGTGAGTTGATGCTGTTTCTCTAAGATTCCCAGTTCTTTCCTGCCCCAGGACATTGGCACTTGCTTTCTGGGTGCCTGAAATATTCTCTTACTTGCTCTTAGCAGGGCTGACTTCTCTCTTCTGTCCTGACTCAAATGTCTCCTCTGCGCTGAGGCCGCCTTTCCTGACCTGTTTGTGTTAAAGTGGCATGCCTACCCTCTCCCCCAACTCGGCTCACTGTCCAGTTTATTTCTCACATCAACTTGTTGTGATCTGAATTAATGTGTTTGCTTGTTAATCTCTTTCTCTCATCACTTCCTGAAGGAAAATCTTGTCTGTCCTGTTTACCACTATCACCCCACTGCCTGGGAGAGTCCCTAGTTGCATAGATGTCCAATCCATCCTTCAGAAATGAGTGAATGACTGTGGTTGGTGAAAGTCTCAGTCCTATAATGCTTTAACATTTGAGTCCGTACAATGCTTAAAAAATAGCCAACAGGCTGCCCTCTTGCTGCTGACTCTAGATCTACTCTTTTATCATATCCACAACCAAAGGAAACATTACCTCTCATGTCTTTCCCGTGTGGAAAGTTCCAGAGAAGTGATGTAGGCTAAAAGGTGAAGGAAGGAGTATCTAAGCAAAAGTCACATCACACTCGACCATATTGTTTGGCAAACTTTCCATTCAAACCAGGACTGTTCAGCCAAACAGCTACACAAACAAGCAAATCTTAGTTAAATTAGAAAACGCAGGTGGAGACGCCCCGAGTGTGCTGTTTTCTGCTTGTTAAGTAAAGATTGATTGAATGAACGGGTTGTAGAACACCCAAACCAACAGGGAGATAAACCACCAGGAGTAAAGGGAATTGTTTTTTTCATCTAGAAAAAGTCAGAGAAATATGACAAAAAGAAGATAAGGTTCAGTAACAGAAACTCTATTTTTACAATAGGTATGAATATGTTAAATTTTCCTGGGCTCAGTGGATAGAGGTCGACCTGCGGACTGGAGGGTCCCAGGTTCAATTCCGGTCAAGGGCATGTACCTGGGTTGCAGGCATATCCCCAGTGGGGAGTGTGCAGGAGGCAGCTGATCGATGTTCTTCTCTCATCAATGTTTCTAACTCTCTATCCCTCTCCCTTCCTCGCTGTAAAAAATCAATAAAACATATTTTTTTTAAAAAATTTTTGCTGGGGTCCAGCCCCAGTGGGTCCAGGGGTTCACCAAGGTGTGGATGGAGTCTGAGAAGAAGGGATGACATGGAGACAGTGTTCAGGTGATCATCATAGCCAGGTTCTTCACTTTACTGTTATCTAACATCTGTATTTATACTATTTGGTCTTAATCCTATCCATTCTATTCAAAAGGTTAGGGCATTTCTTATCCCCATTCCAAGGTTACTCTATTGTTCTATTAAGCTACAAGGTAGCTTAAGCGTGATTGTTCGTAGTTAAAGTGATTAACTACTCTCCCCCTCCCCCCACACACACTTAGTTAAGGGGTTTACTGATAAAAATCCTCACCTGCGGAAACAACTTTTCTTGGAGAGGTGACTTTGGTTAAAACACACAGAATACCACATGAGCTCACTCATTTATGGATAATAAAGACCTTTATAAACTTATGAACAAAAATAGATACAGAGGCAGAGCTGCCTCGAACAGACTGTCAAACTACAGCAGGAAGGCTGGGGAGGGTGGGAGGGCACGAGGGGGGTGGGTAAGAGATCAACAAGGACTTGTGACATAAGACACTGGGGGGTAGGGGAGGCCAGGGGATTGTCAAGGGCGGGGGGAAAAAAGGAGACATATGTAATACTCTTTGTAATACTTTAAGCAATAAAAAAAAGAGAAGAAGAAGGCAAGCAAACACACCAAGAACAGCATGCCATATACGCCAGGTCCCTTGAAACATCCCTGCAGGGACTGCCTCAAGCAGCCAGGGTGGATCGGCTTCCAGCAAAATTTACCTGTTAAAAGAAAGTAAATTGTCATCTTCCTACTGAGCAAGGACACTGTCCTATCCCACAACTTATTATTTCATGGGCTAACCCTTTCTGGGAGCTTGCAGTTCTTCTGGAATTGTGCTAATATTTGGGGAACAATACTCTGGTGTCCCTGAAGGGTGCTTCATAAAAAAATTATGGGGTGGCCCTGGCCGGTGTTGCTCATTGGGTAGAGCACCAGCCTACACACCAAAGGGTCTCAGGTTTGATTCCCGGTCAAGGGCACATCCTATCCTCACCCCCAGGTCAGGGCATATGTGGGAGGCAACCAATCGGTGTGTCTCTCTCACATCAGCGAAATTGCCTTATTGTAAAAATCTTTTGACTACAGATTTGGGGTAAAACTGTGCTGTTAGGGTTAATTCCGGCAGGCCTGGAATTAGCCTCAACTGTCTTACTGAAGTTAGAAATGTAATTCCGTGACGAGTTGCCCTGGTATTGGTGAGGCCCCTGGAGGATTCTGGCACTGGGGCTCCCTGTGTAGCAAGAAGGTCTGTGTGGGCGGTGGAGTATCAGAGGCCCTAGCTTCGACTCCGTTTGGGGCTCCGTGAACTTCCTAGAACTGATTCCCTGAAGCCAGTGATTTTCAACTGGTGTTGCCACAAGAATTTTTAAAACAAGCAATACCAGCCAAGGGCACTGACCTCTTTTCCCTTAGATTGTCCAATTTAAAAATGACAACAGCCAACACAACAATAGATGTCGGTGTGAATGAACCAAAAGTATACCTATTTCTGCCCTGGCCGGTGATGCTAAGAGCATCAGCTAGGGACCAAAGGGTTGAGGGTTTGATTCCCAGTCAAGGGCATGTACCTGGGTTGTAGGTTCCATCCCTGGCCTGTGTTGGGGCACATGCAGGAGGCAACCAATCGATCTTTTTCTCTTCTCTCTCTCTCTCTCTCTCTCTTTTTCCTTCTCCCTGTCTCCCTCTCTTCCTTCTCCCTCCCTCCCATCCAATCTCTCAAAAAATAAAATATATCCTCAGGTGAGGATTAGAAAAAAATTATACATTTCTTTTTGTGAGATCTGCAAAAAAAATATCTTTTTTGGTGTGCTACTAGTAATTACTTTATGTGTGCCATAGATGGAAAAGGTTGAAAATCGCTGCTTTAGACTATTCTTGCTCCTTCATCCTTTATAAAGTCCTGGACAGGACCACGGTCGTGTCTCCTTTTGTACTAGAAACAGGAGGGAGCTTCCCGTGGGCACAGAACAGCGGACGCAGGAGGTGGTGGCCTTGACATGGGCAGCTGAGGTGGGAAGAGTGCTGTCGATTTCAGGAGGAGAGAGAAGGCTTAATAGTTTCCAAGAAGGGCAGGCAGATAAAGACAGAGAGCAGAATTTGCATCTTGCGTTTTCCCCACCAATCTTTTTTTTCTCTCTCTCCTTTCCCTTTGGCTCCTAGGAGCTCCAAGGTCTTGTGCTCCTGCTTCTGGCCCTGTACCCCGCAACCAGCCAGCACTGCCCCTAGTGGCCTGCTGGTGACTCTCCCTACTACCTGGGCTGCACACAGAAATCTTGAGACCAGGCGGAAGTTGCCGTCCACTGTCCGTGTTAACATACAAACTGGGAGAATATTGCATTTATTTGCGAGAAGAGGGGGTCCCCATTATCCCTTGCATCTCCGCGTTCCACAGTAATCCTTAAATTCCCATTTCTAGGGTGTCCCGGTGGCCATGACAAGCACTGTCCTTGACAAAGGAAGTCTAGAAACAGCCAGGGTTGGGATATTCCCAGAGAACTTGTATTAAAAATAAGTAGTGGAGGTTTCTCTCTCTCTCTCCACTCCTTCGGACCAAGACAGCTTAGAAATGCCTTTACAGCGCACACCGTCTTTCCGGTCTCAGTGGGAAATAAAACTGCGGAGTCACCCTGGCACACCCAGCGCCCAATACTAACTGAGCATCAACGCCCACACAGGTGGGCACATAATCAGAAGCCCCAGCTGTGCAGGGGTGACCTGCGCTAACGCGCGGGGCATGCGGACACCTGAGGTCGGTGGCGGAAAGAGCCAGAGGTGGAGAAGTGGAGCTAAAGCCTTTCCTGGCCTGGACCGGCCCCAGCACTTTCAGGTGTGGCCTCCCGCGCCTGTCCAGGGCAGGGCGGGCCTGCACTTCAGACTCCGGCCAGCAGAGAGCAGCACCCGCCCATGTGCCTAGCTTTCCGTATACATGTAAGGCAATGTAAGGCAACGCCGGCCTCTGGCAGCGCTGCCCGGGGGAAGGCTACCAGCTCTGACAAAGCCCCGCTGGGCGTGTGCAATGAAAAGCCACTGGCGCATA